CTAAATCACAAACTGTATTTACACTTAGCCATATCCCAAACTTACCTCATTTTGAAATTATTTTAAAATTAAGAATAAAACTAAGTACCCCCGAAATGCCTACCATGCTAAGCTTCTAGTGGTACACTCTGTAATAAAATTTTTACTACATTAAACCACACAATAACCAAATTTCTGCAAATCAGCATTGTATCCTTTATAGGAATAAATTTTGAATCTGTTTTAAATTTTGACTTGTTTAAAACCCCCAAAAAGAGAGCTCAAAGTTTCAGGGGCCCTTAAACCAATAACAATAACAGTTAGAAAGAATGGTTTTGGACAAAACAAACAGTAAAATGTGACCTTTATTGAAAACGTTTGCCCACAACGCAATGGGCTTTATCAAGTCACAAACAGATCTTTTTTTCGTGAAAAAGCCCTTGTGGGGCGAAACATTGTCAATAAAGGATCACATTTTTGATCGTTTTTTTCCATTGTGTCGGTTTTTTATACCATTTACTTCCAAGAACTGCTTTTTCTTTTTGAATTTCCCCTTCTAGGGGGAGACTGGTGCCGGTGTAAAGCTTTTGGCCCGGGAAAGGCTCTCCCCTCCATTTTTTTGGGCTCAGGCCTTGTTGCTTCCCTTTCCCACGCTGTGTTTCCTACGGGTTTTAGAGCTTCCATGAAATACAGAATCACTGTTTTTTTTTTTTTGCTCACGCTGTGGCCCTGGGGGGTTTTTAGCGTTTAAATTTGGATGGATGAGGAATAATAGCACGACGATGAGATGATTGATGAGATTGACACGACGTGATTTTTTATACAATGAGTTTGGGTTTGATAATACAACCGTCAGTTCTGGAGGGGAAACCTCAAAAAACTTCACTATCCTGGAGAGAAAAAAATACTAAACTTGAATACAAAGAAAAATTTTTAAAAAGTATCTAAAATATGAAAAAGCAAAAAAAAAGAATATGAAGAAAAATACGAGACTTTACAATGAATACAAGTATGAAAGGGTCGATTGCTAGTGCACTGACTACACTCTCAGGTCAGGGATCGACCTGATACAGCTGGAAAACAGAAAATTGTTTCCTATGCCCCTGCTGCCCTTGTTCACTGCAGTAAAATGGGTCCTGGATGTTAGTCGACGGTTTGGGTTACGTCCGGGGACAAAAATTTACCTTTAAATTTCCGAAGTGTCTGTATTACAAAACGCTTTCTATATGTATATGTCAGATTCTTAGGCCTGTTTTTACTTTGTACATGTTTTTGTAGAAATTAAAATATTACAATATTATTATTTTTAATATGAAAAATACAAAGATCTGGTACCCAAAAGATCATTGAAATTTGTTGTATGGAGTTGTGTAGCCATAACCCAAATTAAACTTTTTAACCAAGGATATACTTACCATGATTTCCTTATTTAAATTTCTCGAGTTTCACTACTCTCGAAGCCCGGCCCTGGGCCAGGCTCGTTTGGGGCTTTTGGTCAACCAGGCTTTGCTGCTGAAGGCCCGCTGCCCACATATCCGTCACAGCCCGGTTGATTGGCCGTGGTAAGATACTTGTCCATTTCCCCTTGAAGGGTTTTTAACTTGTTCCACCGTGTTTGATATCTTCTGGGAAAATGTTGAATTTGTCTAGAACCCCCCATGTTCAACAGGTTCCTTATTGTCCCCCACCCACCTGCTCCTCACTTGGGGTTTTTTTTTACACTTCCTCCCATTTCTCACTCCTATGTTGTTATGGCAGTGTGCAGATTTGGGGGCCCGGGCGGAGTTTTTTTGGTATATTTATCATGTATTCCTCTCTCCTCTGCTCCCAAAAAAGATAAGATAAGAAGATTTCGTTCGGATTTTTAACCCGGGGGTTAGCCACCCAGGAAACCCAAGAAAGTCGTGCGTCATCGAGGACTGTCTAACTTATTTCCATTGGGGTCCCCTTTAAACTTGTCCCCCAGGGTGCGACCCACACCCGTCGACTAACACCCCGGTACCTATTTTCCCGCAGGTGAAAGGACAACAGGGGTAAGGAAAAGTGTCGGAATGTTCCCCCCCGCCGGGAATGAAAAACCCCCGGGCCTCCCTGTTGAAAGGGGGGCTTTAGCCCCCAGGCCACCGGGCAATGAGTACATGTCAAGACTTGAAGGGATTCCCAGTAATTTAGGTGCTTTACTGGCTCAATGTGAGCTGTAAATGATCTCTGTATTTGTTCCCGCTTGCTATTTCTCTTGTTTGAACAGGGGTGTCAGACTGAGCAAAAATTCTAAATGAGGGAGCCTAATGATTTGATGAGTTTCACCATTTGGGATTATTTCCTTTTTGAAAAATTTTCTACCCCCCCCATCATCTTCCTGGCTGATGTGATCAAATTCAAATAGGATTTGATATTTCCATTTCATAGTAATACAGCCTCGCCTCGCTTAACGACAGAGTTCTGCTCCTAAGACCATGTCGGTACACAAATTCATTGCTAAGTGAGGAGCATACTATAATGGTAGTGGGTTTGTGTCATCTATCTTTGATATTGTTTTAATGTCACCTTTGCACCGTTTATAACATTTCTGGTATATTTTTAAATGTTTATACAATAGTGTACTGCATATTGTAATAAACAAAATGGAGGAAATCAGCTCTAATACACATTATTTAGGCATGCATACTGGTCAGAGAGCCCATTGTAAGTCCGAGGCATTGGTAAACGAATATGTCGCTAAATGAGGAGAGGCTGTAATAATAATCTTTATTTCTACAAGTACGTACATGAGACAACCTATACGGACCTAGCTTTCATCAATGACATAACATGTAAAAAGCCCCTGGTTATGCAGAACATTCCAGGCAATTAGGTTTTGTCCCCAGGATGCAATTCACACAAGTTGGCTAACACCCAGGTACTTACTACTAGGTGAACAGAGATAGCAGGTGTCTTAAGGTAATACACCCCAATGTTTCTACCCGTATCAGGGATTGAACCACGGACCTCAATGTGTGTGCCTGATTGCAATGGCAACCTTGCTGCGGGACACTTTGATGGATGGGTCTATGAAAGATGAGGTGAATCATAGAATTGATGAGGGGAAAAGAGTGAGTGGTGCACTTAGGAGTCTGTGGAGACAAAGAACTTTGTCCTTGGAGGCAAAGAGGGGAATGTATGAGAGTATAGTTTTACCAACGCTCTTATATGGGTGTGAGGCATGGGTGATGAATGTTGCAGCGAGGAGAAGGCTGGAGGCAGTGGAGATGTCATGTCTGAGGGCAATGTGTGGTGTGAATATAATGCAGAGAATTCGTAGTTTGGAAGTTAGGAGGAGGTGCGGGATTACCAAAACTGTTGTCCAGAGGGCTGAGGAAGGGTTTTTGAGGTGGTTCGGACATGTAGAGAGAATGGAGCGAAACAGAATGACTTCAAGGTGTATCAGTCTGTAGTGGAAGGAAGGCGGGGTAGGGGTCGGCCTGGGAAAAGGTTGGAGAGAGGGGGTAAAGGAGGTTTTGTGTGCGAGGGGCTTGGACTTCCAGCAGGCATGCGTGAGCGTGTTTGATAGGAGTGAATGGAGACAAATGTTTTTTAATACTTGACGTGCTGTTGGAGTGTGAGCAAAGTAACATTTATGAAGGGGTTCAGGGAAACCGCCAGGCCGGACTTGAGTCCTGGAGATGGGAAGTACAGTGCTTGCACTCTGAAGGAGGGGTGTTAATGTTGCAGTTTAAAAACTGTAGTGTAAAGCACCCTTCTGGCAAGACAGTGATGGAGTGAATGATGGTGAAAGTTTTTCTTTTTCGGGCCACCCTGCCCTGGTGGGAATCGGCCAGTGTGATAAAAAAAAAAAAAAAAAATCTTGTCTGTTCAATTTGCTTAATGCAGTTTTACTTATTATATACCATTTCAAGAACCTAATTGCTATGTTAATCCAGGGATGAGGATGTTGAGGATAGCAAGTTATCATTGGTCTCCTCCCTAGTGTGGCCTAGATTATAAGTTCAGCTTCATTGAACCTTCTCTGCAGTTTCTTAATACAAAAGCATTTTTGAGTTATGAGGACATTGCCTGTGTATTGCACACTTGTTACAATGTATAAAATATGCAGGTAACCCACACATTGGAGAAAGAAACTTATGATGTTTCATTCTTTCATAAGTTTCTTATCTTATATGTGGGTTATTTGTGTATTGTTCAAGTTATGGTATTGTGCCTTTTTATTCTTTACTGGGTATAAGATAAGATAAGATAATATTTTGTTGGGATTTTTAACCCCGGAGGGTTAGCCACCCAGGATAACCCAAGAAAGTCAGTGCGTCATTGAGGACTGTCTAACTTATTTCCATTGGGGTCCTCAATCTTGTCCTCCAGGATGCGACCCACACCAGTCGACTAACACCCAGGTACCTATTTGCTGCTAGGTGAACAGGACAACAGGTGTAAGGAAACGTGTCGAAATGTTTCCACCCGCCGGGAATCGAACCCGGGCCCACCGTGTGTGAAGCGGGAGCTTTAGCCACCAGGCCACCGGGCCTGGTGGCACTCAGTTGTTAAGTGTTCCACTTACATATATCTGCTTGTTATAATGGCGATGATAGGAGACTTGTACCCATTTCATATGTTTGTCTGTAAAGGTTGTTGTTGCAAAGGGAACAGGTAATTATTACAGCATCTCAACCATATTGTCCCACATGAGTAATGATCATACTTCACCATACCCACATTGCAGCATGACTCTGGTGATTTCATTCTCACAAGGCTTAACTTGACCTGTCAGTTGTTCACACCTGACTTGAACAGTCTTACTTCACAGGTGCCTTGGCCTATAAATATATACAATACTGGATTTTCGGTACCCTGTGTAACTTTGGATTGAACAAGGCTCCAGGACTGAGACTTTTCCACTAAAATGTTATAAATATTTGCTAACATTTCCTGCTACTTAACTTTTCAGTATCCTATACCAGTATCTGATGCTTAAGTTTCATAATCTTGTTGGTAGTCATTGCATGCTAAGCTTAGATAGTTCCACATGTACTATATTAAAATATCCTTTTTTTTTCAGATTCACAATGAATTCCATAAGAACCAAACTGTTTGATTTACTAATTAGTGCAAGACCATTGCTTCAATTTACATTAAATGTTAGAAAAAGAAATTTAATGTTTACATGGCATTCTTTGGCATTGAATACTGACGGATCCTTTCGAAGCAATGTGTGGAAGGGAAATAACTTGCCTATTCAGAATATTTATGTAACTTCGCATAGATACTATAGCAAAAATACAAGTCATGGATCATTGATAACTCCAGAGACAAGCAGTGCAAGTGAGCTTACAATGAAAGAAAATGTATGTGATTCTGTGGCATTGTTGGAGGAAGAATGCAGTTTTCCTGTTAGTGAAAACGAAGATTGGTCATCAGAAATGAAGTGGATAAAAAGTCAAGAAAGCAAAGATGTTCTTTCTCCTCCCAAAGATCTCTCTGAGATTGACAATTTATCACCTGAGCTGAGGCCTACATTCAACTTAGCTGCATATGCAAACAGGTAGGATAGGGTATAGGGTAGTTGTGTTTTATATTTTTTGCAATGTCAGCATTAATTATGAAGGGTTTTTTTGCAGTGAATTGTCAAAAACTGATATCTAGGATTTAACTGAATTTCATTGCAGATTGCAAATGTCCCCCAAGCAGTTAAGCCTGGGTACCAGCTCATAAATGGTGATTTGCCTATCTCTGATTTCCTAATTGTCACCAGTACAAATTTTAACTTAACATAGTACGTGTAGGTAGTTCAAGCAGCACATCTCAAAAAATCAAGCGTGATTTGCCTAAGCAAGTACATGTATACAGGGCAAGATAATTTTTTTCAGCTTTGTATCCTGACCTATTGAATAATATGCAGTAAAGGAAAATTAGCCTTTATATTATTTTGGCACATGTAAAATTTGTCATCTGAAAGGAAAACAAGTGCTCTGAACCATGGTGTGTGTGTTTGTGTGTCTGTCTTTGTGGGAAATTAATATTAAAAAAAAATGTAGAGGTTAGTTGACTTTGTAAAGTATTGGGTTATAGATACAGGCACTTCTGTTACTGAACTACAGGGGGTCACCCTGCCTCTCACCGAGGCAGGGTGACCCTCAAAATAGAAGGAAACACTTTCACCATCATTCAACACTTTAATCATCATTTACACATAATCACTGTCTTTGCAGAGGTGCTCAGATATGACAGTTTAGATGTCACATCAAACAGCCAATATCCCAAACCCCTCCTCTAAAGTGCAGACATTGTACTTCCCACCTCCAGGACTCAAGTCCCTAAATCCCTTCACAAAATATTACCATGCTCACACTCCAACAGCTCGTCAGGTCCCAAAAACCATTCGTCTCCTTTCACTCCTAACATGCTCACACATGCCTGCAGCATGTTTAAGCCCCTTACTTTAGTTAAAACTTGCAAATGAAATTAAAAAAGTGCATCAAAATTAAATACCTGTAGTTTGTACATGTATTATGAAAGCTTTTTCAAGTGCTGTTTAATTTTGGATGTAACTTTTCAGTTGCATTTAAGTATAGGGGAGCTTTATAAGAGCTAACTGTAGTTGTCTGCTAATAGAATAGGTTAATTGCCTGATAGAAAAACTCTGATTATCTATTTGTAATTATAGTGGTACCTTGAGTTTCGTGCAGCTCCCAACTTGAAAAATTATGCAAGTGTATTATTGTAAGTGCTTTTGTAAGTGTATTTTTGGGGGTCTGAAATGGACTAATCTAATTTATGCTATTCCTTATGGGAACAAATTCGTTTGGCAACGGCACTCGAACAGCCTTTTGGAACGAATTATGGCCGAAACTCGAGGTACCACTATTTCTGTAGATACTGGAGCAGAGCTAATTTCAAGCTCCCATCTTCAGTATTTAGATATTGGTTTTAACACTCAATGTCTCAATTCCTTTGTTCTACCACTTTGTTTAAGGAGAGAAACTTTTTAGATTCCTTTTTTTTAAGATGACAGGTAAACTATACAAACTTCTACTTATATACATCATTTATGTACAGTAAAACCTCGATTTAATACAACCTGATTTAATGGATTTTCGATTTACCAAGCAAAATCTGTGATTGAACAATTAAAAGCAACAAAGTTCATTAAATCCCGGATTGTCTTTTATTAATATGGTCTGCTGGATCAATTCATTTCAGGTCGAATTAGCTTAGTCCAATAAATTAGAATTGTCTGTTATTTTTATAGACAATTCTGGATTTAACAGGCAAAGTCTGTTAAATTCTCAAATTTCTGTCAGTGTTGTAGTCTGCAGGGTAAATTTATTTTCAGATTAATTGGACTTAGTGCAGTAAACCTTTCATTGTCAGTGCCGTAGTACTATGGCTTGCAAGCCAGTGTTGGTTCCGTAGTACTACGCCAAAATTGTACTGGCTTCAAATCTAGCAGGAGAAAGCTGGTAGACCTACATGTGAGAGAATGGGGCTGCATGGTCAGTATGCACAGTATAAAAAAATCGGGGAGGCCGCAATGCATTGTGGGGGTGCTAATTCAGTAAGCCTTGTTTACCATGCCTAGCGGTAAGGAATACCTCTTTCCCTGGAGAACTGGGACTCTTCCCTTCCCAAGTGACAGTTCTAACACAGATTGAAGTATCAGTGAAGATGAATCTCATGGTTTCGAGTGCGACTGAAAGCAATGCCCAGGATACCAGAAATATTGCTGAAAACCCAGACGATTATCAACCTCCCACCTCTTGTGCTGGGCCATCCCATTTATCAACACTTGTACCACAGCGAAAGGGGAAACTCATTTTCCCATGTCTCAAAGAATAAGTAACTTTATTCAGGTATACACAAATAGTTACATAGATTATCATACATAGCAGCATATGTGTAGATTACCTAGGATAAGCCAAAAAAGTCAGTGGGTGGTGGGAAAGGCAGCACGGGTTTGTGTGAACAGGTTTTGTAACCAGTATAATAATATTTGTGCGGTTATTGTGTTGCATACAACAAATGGACCTGCCTCGTATGGGCCAGTAGGCCTTCTGCAGTGTTCCTACATTCTTATGTTCTTAAATGGATATACAGTGGACCCTCGACTAACGCTATTAATCTGTTCCTGAGAGCTCATCGTTAGTCAGAATAATCGTTAGTCAAGTTAATTTTCCCCATAAGAAATAATGGAAATCAAATTAATCCGTGCAAGACACCCAAAAGTATTGAAAAAAAAAATTTAACACATGAAATATTAATTTTAATACACACAAACTGAAGAAGACATGCACAGTTACATGACACTTATCTTTATTGAAGATCTGGTGATGATTGATGGGATGGGAAGAGGAGTGTGTTGATGGTCTTAGTGTTTAGAAGGGGAATCCCCTTCCATTAGGACTTGAGGTGGCAAGTCCTTTTTCGGGGTTACTTCCCTTCTTTTAATGCCACTAGGACCAGCTTGAGAGTCACTGGACCTCTGTCGCACAACATATCTGCCCATAGAGGCCTGTACCTCCTGTTCCTTTATGACATTCCTAAAGTGTTTCACAACATTGTCAGTGTCACCATTAAACACTTGTTCAGGTTTCAGTCCTTCACTATGTACTCCTTGAATTCCTGCACATATTTTTCAGCTGCTTTTTGGTCCAAACTGGCAGCCTCACCATGCCTTATCACACTATGTATGCCACTACGATTCTTAAATCTCTCAAACCAACCTTAAAGCCTTAAATTCACTCACATCACCACTAGTTGCTGGCATTTTTCTAATTAAATCGTCATGCAACTTCCTAGCCTTTTCACATATGATCGCTTGAGAGATGCTATCTCCTGCTATCTGTTTTTCGTTTATCCATACCAATAACAGTCTCTCAACATCTATCACTTGCGATCTCAGTTTCGAAAACATAGTTGCACCTTTGGCAAGAACAGCTTCCTTGATTGCCGTTTTCTTGGCCACAATAGTAACGATGGTTGATTGGGGTTTTGTGTACAGCCTGGCCAGCTCGGAGACATGCACTCCACTTTCATACTTAGCAATGATCTCTTTCTTCATTTTTTTTTTTTTTTTTTTTTTTTCAACAAGTCGGCCGTCTCCCACCGAGGCAGGGTGACCCAAAAAGGAAAGAAAATCCCCAAAAAGAAAATACTTTCATCATCATTCAACACTTTCACCACACTTGCACATTATCACTGTTTTTGCAGAGGTGCTCAGAATACAACAGTCTAGAAAAATACACACATAAAGATACACAACATATCCCTCCAAACTGCCAATATCCCAAACCCCTCCTTTAAAGTGCAGGCATTGTACTTCCCATTTCCAGGACTCAAGTCCGACTATATGAAAATAACCGGTTTCCCTGAATCCCTTCACTAAATATTACCCTGCTCACACTCCAACAGATCGTCAGGTCCCAAGTACCATTCGTCTCCATTCACTCCTATCTAACACGCTCACGCACGCTTGCTGGAAGTCCAAGCCCCTTACCCACAAAACCTCCTTTACCCCCTCTCTCCAACCCTTTCGAGGACGACCCCTACCCCGCCTTCCATCCCCTATAGATTTATATGCTTTCCATGTCATTCTACTTTGATCCATTCTCTCTAAATGACCAAACCACCTCAACAACCCCTCTTCTGCCCTCTGACTAATACTTTTATTAACTCCACACCTTCTCCTAATTTCCACACTCCGAATTTTCTGCATAATATTTACACCACACATTGCCCTTAAACAGGACATCTCCACTGCCTCCAACCGTCTCCTCGCTGCTGCATTTACCACCCAAGCTTCACACCCATATGAGAGTGTTGGTACTACTATACTTTCATACATTCCCTTCTTTGCCTCCATAGATAACGTTTTTTGACTCCACATATACCTCAACGCACCACTCACCTTTTTTCCCTCATCAATTCTATGATTAACCTCATCCTTCATAAATCCATCCGCCGACACGTCAACTCCCAAGTATCTGAAAACATTCACTTCTTCCATACTCCTCCTCCCCAATTTGATATCCAATTTTTCTTTATCTAAATCATTTGACACCCTCATCACCTTACTCTTTTCTATGTTCACTTTCAACTTTCTACCTTTACACACATTCCCAAACTCATCCACTAACCTTTGCAATTTTTCTTTATAATCTCCCATAAGCACAGTATCATCAGCAAAAAGTAACTGTGTCAATTCCCATTTTGAATTTGATTCCCCATAATTTAATCCCACCCCTCTCCCAAACACCCTAGCATTTACTTCCTTTACAACCCCATCTATAAATATATTAAACAACCATGGTGACATTACACATCCCTGTCTAAGACCTCACTTTTACCGGGAAGTAGTCTCCCTCTCTTCTACACACCCTAACCTGAGCCTCACTATCCTCATAAAAACTCTTTACAGCATTTAATAACTTACCACCTATTCCATATACTTGCAACATCTGCCACATTGCTCCTCTATCCACTCTATCATATGCCTTTTCTAAATCCATAAATGCAATAAAAACTTCCCTATCTTTATCTAAATACTGTTCACATATATGCTTCAATGTAAACACCTGATCTACACATCCCCTACCCACTCTAAAACCTCCTTGCTCATCCGCAATCCTACATTCTGTCTTACCTCTAATTCTTTCAATTATAACCCTACCGTACACTTTTCCTGGTATACTCAGTAAGCTTATTCCTCTATAATTTTTACAGTCTCACCCTTTTTGCTGTAGGGTTGGCACTAGAAGCTTCCTTGGGGCCCATGGTGACTTATTTTGCAGGTGCAATCACTAAAAAGGCTGTGATAATATGAAATGTTCCGATTGTATTCTTGGAAGCGACCGTGGTGGCTGGCTGGCTTGTAAACACTGGCCAGAAGTGGACGCGTCTCAGACGGAACGAATAGTGTTGGTCGAGTTTTTTAGCGCTAATCGAGGCAAAATTTTTGCAATGAAATGTATCGCTAGTCAGATTTATCGTTAATCGATGCCATCGCTGGTCGAGGGTCCACTGTATATACATTATGCATTATATTGGTCTCACAGGCCACAAAAGTTACTTGAAAAAATAGATTACAAGAGAAAAAATTAGAATAAAAGTAAAAATAATATTACCGAGTGAGTGTCAGTCGCCGATGTTGCTGTAAGCGGTTCACTTGCTGTCAGCTTCATGCCTCTATATCTCAGTAAGTACTGATTGCAATTTTTTTTTTCTTTTTAAACAATCAGAAAAAATATAAGATTTTGGTAAGAAAATTTTTTTTTTGTTTTTTTGGAATATTTTTCGACATTGAGAGCAAGTTTGTAATCAGGGGCTTCGACAGTGTAAAGGTTAAATTTGAAAATGGTCCATTTCATTTACGATTATGGAAAGATATCATAATCTGAATTTAGCAGTTTGTCAGTTTTAATGAACACCCCCTCGCCTCATTAATCAGTTAAAGTGAGGCTTCACTGTGCATATTTTATGTTTCATTTATGTTTTTTAATGGTTCTTAATTCTAGTCTGAGATCGGTGTGCAGGGTCAATTTCTAGAATTACTGTATTAACAGATGCAGTGGAACCCTGGTTTTTGTCCTTAATCTGTTCCAGAAGGTCGGTCGAAATCGGAAATGGACGAAAACCAAAGTAACATTTCCCATAAGAAATAATGTAAATCCAATTAATCCATTCCAGACACCCAAAAATATTAACCAAAAATACATTTTATAGAGAATAACTATAGTTTTACATACAGAAAACAATGATAAATAAATATAAATGATTAATTTTAATGGATAAATGAACATTTAAATCACTATTACATACCTTTATTGAAGACTTGTTGACATATGGAAGAAGGCATGGAGGGGAGAGGGAGGAGAGGTTATTCTTTGGAATACATCCTTACATCCTGAGGAGCTTGGCCACACATACGCCACTTTCATATTTTGTTACAAGCTCTTCTTGAATTCTATCACGTTTCTCACTTTCTGTACCAAAGGGCTGGCACTAGGAACTTTCTTTGGCCCCATGCTGGCTTATTTCGCAGTTGCATTCAATAAACAAGCACAAAAAACAATGGATTATTACGAAATGTTTCTGATGAACGCATGGAGCATTGCTCACTAAACAATTGGCAGAGGCAGACTGAGTCACGTACATGTGAGCGACCTCGTCCCAGGCGGGTAGACACGTCTGATATGGATGATTTCTGAGCAGAGGTACGAAACCTGGGGTAAAATTTCGCCCCAAAAAAATGGTCGAAATCCGAATTGTACGATATCCGCAACGGACGAAATCTGGGGTTCCACTGTACACAAGATCTTTAGAGTTAAGGACAACAAGTACAATGGTGGCTCATGTGTTGTGCTCTTTCCAGGTCACATACCCTGCAACAACTTATAAAACTTGGAGTTGACCTTAGTAATTGGGACAAGAGGAAGCATATCAACTCATTCATCCTTAAGCTTGATTTTGAAAGAGACATGAAAAAATATCTAATGTAAGTTTTATAAGATATGTATACTGTACAGGTGTTTCTCACTTTATGATAGTTTGACTTACAATATTTCGACTTCACAATGCTGTGATAGTAATGCACGTTCAAATTTTGACAGATAAACTGGTATTCATTTATTTATTTTTCAATACTGCTAATTTAGCTACAGTAATTATTGATTTATTTACTTATTCAGTGACAGTAGTTATTTATCATATATTCTTATTCAACTTGCAACGTTTTCTGCTTACCATGGGTTCATCGGAACATAACCCTATTGTAAGTCAAGGAACACTTAAAAACATTTACTTCTAAGTATTTTATGTACACTTTCTATTTTAAACATAGACTTTGGTTTGTTCTAATGCACTTTGAACTGATAATAGAATTGAAATGATCATACTTTATATTCTTGAGACCATAGGTGAGCTGCATTAGATGGGAGCCATACCTTGAAAGAATTAACATAATAATAAACTTAATCGGTAAGTATTGCCCTCATACACTCAAACAATGAATTAAATTTCGTGTACCTTTTCCAGAAATCACTATTTTTATTAATTGACAAATCATAATTTCCAGTAACTAGCTGATTAGTGTAAAAGTGTAATATATCATTCCATTTAACCCCTTAACTGTCCAAACATAGATCTACGTTGTTACCGGTAGCGCTCCGAACGTAGATCAACGTTTTATTTTTCTTGCCTTCAAATTTGGCATGATTGGCCTGAGTGGCCTAAACGTGAGAGAATAGGTCTTCGCACTTAGTGTGCAGTGTATGAAAAAATCGGGGACCCCATATTGGTCAGAGAGTCCGTTTTAAGTCTGAGTCATTGGTAAACAAGTACATCACTAAGTCAGGAGAGGCTGTACATAACAATTACATATATGAAAATCTAAAGCTGGACAGGAAGTTAGAGCCATTTGGTTTTTGTGGCTGCATAACAGTTGCAACTCGTGTTTGCATCACGGATGAAGAATATTAATATTCAGCGCAGTACATTTAATTTCCAAATTTGGTTCCACTGTTTTTTTTTAACCTAAAATACAGTATAGTTTGCCCCTCTCCTATCATGCCTTCAACTATGTACTTCACTTCCATCACTTTGAAATTGCTTTTTGCCCCCTACTTATGTCTTTTGCTGAGAAGTGGCCAGTTGTGCTGTCACAGGCAAAATATTTCCCCCCCTTTCTTAGTATACTTAATATCACTGGTATTTATAGCAACCTCACTCCCCAAAAGTTTTCTCATAGGAATTCACTGTAAGATGGCTTTCTCTTCTGTTATCATTCCATTTCTGATTTCATCACCCTATTGCACTTTAAAATAGTGTGTGTGAGTAGGATGGAAAACCTGCAAAACACATTGCTTTTAGTCATGGATGATTTAACTGTTTTAGAGTGTATAGTCAGCTTCATAATATCAAGTTTAGTGCTGACCACACTGACACTGTGTAAGCAGTCACTGGATGCCAATCATTACTGCAGTGATTGTCCATCTGCTCTCAGAGTTTGACATATTTGAGATTTTAGCTGCAATATGCATATAAATATATGTAACAGAATTTATGTTTGATTGTGTGGAAATGTACAAATTATCAAAATTTTAAACCAAACATACTCTTCTAAACACCTTTTTCTGTAGAACATAGTTTCACAAATTTGCTTTATAGAATGAAGGTAAACAATCAGTTTAGGATAAGAGAAGTTTGATGGTATGATTTGATCTTATGGTCTGAAATTATAAGCAAATCATGTTAATCACTGAATTATGAAGAACATTGTTACAGAGGGAATCATTGTACTACAGTTGACCGTCATTTAGCACGAGTTTATTTGGCACGATTCGGGCATAGCACGATTCAAGAATTGCGGCACAGTTTAATGTAACACATCATAAAATTAGTTTAACAAGGTTCAGTTTGCAGGAAGGAAAAAAAATATTCCCTTTTCCTTAAATGGCTGCCTTATTGTGGATCAACGGGGCAGACCTCCCACCATCCCCCCCCCTCCCTGACATCACCTCACGTACTTCAGACGTGTCCAGTCCTTCTCTGCTACAAGCTAGCTGTGTTTGTGAATTGTTTTGATCTTTTAATTACTATATCTTGTATCTGCCAAGCAATCATGACACCCAGTAGGCATACCAGTGTTGCTGAAAGTGGCAAGAAAAGGAATAAGCATTTAAGTCTTAGAATTAATGAAGAAAACAAAGATACTAGACAAGAGAACCTGTGGCCTTAATGAAGTGTTACTTTCTACACATAAAAAGAGGTAAACATAAGTTTATGTGACTTGACTTAATAACTTACTTGACTGAATGACAAAGTTAGACACTCCAGTACAACCATCGACTTCAGTACCATAACCTCTACCATCCACCTCAGCCCAGTAGGACCACAGCATAACTCTCCACTCTCTTCACAGTCATCCACAAACACCAGCACCCACAATTTAAGATAAGAAATACTATTTCTGTTACGTTTGTAGTCTTAAGCAGTAAAAACAACATAATACATCACAACAATGAACTACAATTACATATTCACTTGTATTTTTGTAAGATGTGGAGGCCTAAAAAAAAAGTTGTTTGGCTTTTTTGGGTATCTCAATAATGTATCCCTATTTTTCCCATAAGTTCTTCAGTTCATCTAACAAGGTTTTACCTAACACGGCATTTTCAGGAATGTAACTACCGTGTTAAATGACGGTCTACTGTATTTATTCCTTACAAGTTTTTAGCTCGTTAGTGAATTTTTGCTGTGATTTTTTGTCTCTGTACATTACATACGAGAAAGTTTTGGGGCAAGTAAATGCCTCGAAGTATTGCATAGAGCTTTTGTTAGTGAAAGTCTCTGATTTTATTTTGCTGCTATTATTCTTTGGGTCTGATTTATTAGAAAGATGATCTGTCTGCCCATTTTTTCCAGTTACTGACCCTTGTCACTTTAGTGCTTTCTTTGATAATAATAATTTTCCAGTTATTCTTCATACTGTACATTCATATTGTGTGCCATCACATCATGGTCATACTTTTGCAAAGTCTGTGTAAATTGCATTGGAATTTTACCATGTCTTGCAGTGCATTCAAATACATGTATAATAAAATTATTCAGATTTAATGTTTGCACAAGTACCCAAACATTTTTGTATGTTTTAAGGCTATCACTATAACATTACCAATCATATACATTTATCAATTTAAATAGCAATATTTGCCTTCAGGTTTTTGCATGATGTGGGTGTTGAAGCAGATGATCTTGGCAAGTGGCTCACTGTTAATCCACTAATTTTCAAAGAAAATTTAGAGAATCTCCAAGTCCGACTGGATTATCTCCATTCTATGAACTTCTCTCCGGATCAGATTACTCGTATCATATCCAAGAATCCCAATTGGTTACTCTTTAGGTAAGACACTTTAAAAGATAGTAAGGGTTAATCTTACAACTTCCTTATTCAGTGTGTTTGAGTTTCTAATATTTAACACTGGCTAATGAAAAATGCTTAAATTGCTCATAAAATTATAATAATAATCATCAGTTCTCGAACATTTGTAATACAGTATAAATTATAACTGTGTACACTGGATGTGCACATGAGAAACAATTAGTGAATTTTCTAGAAAGAGCATAGTAATAATTTAAGGCTAGTGAGCAGTCAACTCACTCTTAGGTATCTGTTTTTTGCTAGGTAACAGGGAGAGCAGGTGTTGGAAGACTTGGTCATCTTGCCTTCCCTGAGAATTCAACCCAAACAACTTCATTTCTTTTTGCAGTATACAAAATATAGTTTAAATGTAATAAAATAGTTAAAAACAAAAGAAAGCCACTAGCATGCCATATATTTAGGGCAGGTCTTTACATAATTTGCAGTACACCTTTTAAAATCTATTTCATCTCGCATTTTTAACTGTTACTGTTTAGCTGGTACTATTATGATATTCAAATTAATTTTATTTAAATATGTACTTTCATTTTGGTTTTCAGTACTGTTAGAATAGACAACCGTCTAGGATATTTTCAACGAACTTTTCATTTGACTGGTGCTGAAGTAAGGCTACTGGCAACTAAGCAGCCAAAACTCATCACCATGAACTTATTCAGTATTAAGGTAAATATGAAATTCTCAGGATTTTTCACATTATGTTTTGCACATATCAAGTACATGTATGACTGTATTAATGTTGATACATCTACATCCACCTTCCAGCTTAAGTCAGAATTCCTTGTTGACTCTGATCAACCAGACTGTTTCTGCTAGTTTCCCATAGGCCTCTATAGCCATTATAACTTGTCTTTGCCGATGGATAATTTTAAAGTTATTGGCCAATTTTGCTGATTACATCACTCTTTACTTAGTGTTATTGGCTGATTATGCTCATAAAGTTTTCAAGTAATTCTGTTCTGCAACTCTGGTCCATTTTTTAAATTGGGTGCCTTGATGCTGATGAATGAATTCGAGTATCATTATATGAATGGTATTCAGCACTGATAAATAAATAAGACGTGCAACACTTGGTCATATTCATTGTTGAAACTTTTTTGCCTGTGCAGTAGGATTTCTCAGTCAAATAATGAGGTGACTAATATACTAGAAACTGTTGAAGAACTGGACATTTTTAGGTGTTCAGTTCCTGAGCCATGAATAAGTGAAGATGTAATGTTTGTGGCGTTCAGTCCCTCAGTCTTAGAAATAAGATGGTGGCCCTAAAACCAATCAAGAGCCAACAACAGCACTTCACTCAAGATCATACTGTACATTGTACAGGCGCTCATAGTGAGCACTGCCATGGAAATGAGCAGTTTTTATTATGGCCGAGGGATAAAACACCTCAGTTACCTCTCCACTTCTATTAAGGATGAGGGTATGAAAACCTAAAAATCTCCACTTCTTCCACCGTCTCTGAATTCAACTTGAGAAACCTTCTGTGCAGGCAAAATGTTTTGGCAATGAAGATACCCAAGTGTTCCACAAAAGGAATTGGTGCTTACCTTCTCTTCCTCTGACTGAATGAAATGTTTGTAAGATGATGCAATAGAAATATTTAAAGTACAGCATGTGTCTGTTTTTTCAGCGTACATCTTTTGCTATTGAAGAGGAAATGGGATTTAGCCCATCAGAGATGAAGAGCCTGCTACTGTCTCAACCAAAAATATGGAGGGCAAGTAAGTAATTTTAGGAAACAGTATTTACAGTTTACCCATAATTTTTTTTTTCAATGAATTGGTTATATCCCACCAAGGCAGGGTGACCTAAATATATATTTATATAAATTGTGGTTAACATATTTTAAAGAGATAGATACTGCATTCTCTGCATGTTTGAAAATTCCACATGCGAATTAGCCATTTTTTTAGTTTTTCATATCATATTTTAAACAGCATATTGGGTTTCCTGATCTGCAGTTCACATATACATACATGATTTTGTAGTTATCCTTGAGCTTGGCTGGCTTACAAAGCTACAGTTTGCATTAAGTATTATGTTATCCTTGAACTGGGTTTGCACATTAATGGCTCATCTTCTTGGGTCTGTCGGTTGTGTGTCATTTACATGTAGTACTTGCTTAGTGATCTGTTGTATATGATTAAGTTTGTGTCCTAATCTGCTTTTGCCAGGTCTGGTTCTTGTACTTGCATGCAGCAGCAGTTTTTTCTTGCCCTTGAGAGTGACATTTCCATAGCATACTTCATTCCTGTGTGGGCTTTACTGTCACATGTGGTGATCCTCTTTTATACTATTTTGGCATGATCATTAAGTAGATACCTCATTGCCCTTCATACTTCCAGTGTTCTTGTATCCAGACTGTATCAATCTTGATTCCTCTGATTAACAGCTGCCTCTTTTATGGGTTCTGGTGGTGCCATTCCAAGTGGGTCCTCCAGCAGTACATCTGAACCCCCAATGAAAGACACATTTCTGTGTTAGTGGCTACACAGAACCCATGGTTTCCACCACCTTCAGCTATTGTACTTTTTCTGACACCTAGGTTAAGCTGCATTCTGGAAGCCACAAATGACCTCAATCATTAGCAAACAATGCCCAGATGTCAGAGGCGAGGGATGTTGCTACTGAGCACAGTGTGCACATAGGAACCTTACTGGGTTGTCAGGTGCATTCTGTCACTCCTATTCTTATATAACATCTTAATAGTGACAACATGTTATCACTGTTTATTTTATCACCATATCCTTCATTTTCTTTTTTTCCAACAAGTCGGCCGTCTCCCACCGAGGCAGGGTGACCCAAAAAGAAAGAAAATCCCCAAAAAGAAAATACTTCCATCATCATTCAACACTTTCACCTCACTCATATATAATCACTGTTTTTGCAGAGGTGCCCAGAATACAACAGTTTAGAAGTATATACATATAAAAATACACAATATATCCCTCCAAACTGCCAATATCTCAAACCCCTCCTTTAGAGTACAGGCATTGTACTTCCCATTTCCAGGACTCAGGTCCGGTTATATAAAGTAACCAGTTTCCCTGAATCCCTTCACTAAATATTATCCTGCTCACACTCCAACAGCTCATCAGGTCTCAAATACCATTCGTCTCCATTCACTCCCATTGAACACGCTCACGCACGCTTGCTGGAAGTCCAAACCCCTCGCCCACAACACCTCCTTTACCCCCTACCTCCAACCTTTTCAAGGACGACCCCTACCCCGCCTTCCTTCCCCTACAGATATATATGCTCTCCATGTCATTCTACTTTGATCCGTTCTCTCTAAATGACCAAACCACCTCAACAACCCCTCTTCAGCCCTCTGACTAATACTTTTATTAACTCCACACCTTCTCCTAATTTCCACACTCCGAATTTTCTGCATAATATTTACACCACATTTTGCCCTTAGACAGGACATCTCCACTGCCTCCAACCGCCTCCTCGCTGCAGCATTTACAACCCAAGCTTCACACCCATATAAGAGTGTTGGTATTACTATACTTTCATACATTCCCTTCTTTGCCTCCATAGATAACATTTTTTGCCTCCACATATACCTCAATGCAGCACTCGCCTTTTTTTCTTCATCAATTCTATGATTAACCTCATCCTCCATAAATCCATCCTCTGACACATCAACTCCCAAATATCTGAAAACATTCACTTCTTCCATACTCCTCCTCCCCAATTTGATATCCAATTTTTCTTTATCTAAATCATTTGATACTCTCATCATCTTACTCTTTTCTATATTCACTTTCAACTTTCTACCTTTACACACACACCCAAATTCGTCCACTAACCTTTGCAATTTTTCTTTAGAATCTCCCATAAGCACAGTATCATCAGCAAAAAGTAACTGTCACTTCCCATTTTGTATTTAATTCCCCATAATTTAATCCCACCCCTCTCCCAAACACCCTATCATTTACTTCTTTTACAACCCTATCTATAAATATATATAACAACCATGGTGACATTACACATCCCTGTCTAAGACCTACTTTTACTGGGAAATAGTCCCCCTCTCTTCTACACACCCTAACCTGAGCCTCACTATCCTCATAAAAACTCTTTACAGCATTTATTAACTTACCACCTATTCCATATACTTGCAACATCTGCCACAATGCTTCCCTATCCACTCTATCATATGCATTTTCTAAATCCATAAATGCAATAAAAACTTCCCTACCTTTATCTAAATACTGCTCACATATATGCTTCAATGTAAACACTTGATCTACACATCCCCTACCCACTCTAAAACCTCCTTGCTTATCCGCAATTCTACGTTCTGTCTTACCTCTAATTCTTTCATTAATAACCCTACCATGCACTTATCCTGGTATACTCTGTAAAAATTATAGAGGAATAAGTTTACTATCTCTTTTGTCCCCCTTCCCTTTATATAAAGGGACTATACACGCTCTCTGCCAATCCCTAGGTACCTTCCCCTCTTTCATACATTTATTAAACAAAAATACCATCCATTCCGACACTATATCCCCCCCTGCTTTTAACATTTCTGTCATGATCCCGTCAGTTCCAGCTGCTTTACCCCCTTTCATTCTACTTAATGCCTCACGCACCTCCCCCACACTCACATCCTGCTCTTCTTCACTCCTAAAAGATGGTATACCTCCCTGGCCAGTGCATGAAATTACCGCCTCCCTTTCTTCGTCGACATTAAAAGTTCCTCAAAATATTCTCGCCATCTACCCAAAACCTCCATATCCCCATCTACTAACTCCCCTAATCTGTTTTTAACTGACAAATCCATTTGTTCACTAGGTTTTCTTAACTTGTGTAACTCACTCCAAAATTTTTTCTTATTTTCATTAAAATTTCTTGACAGTACCTCTCCCACTATCATCCGCTCTCCTTTTGCACTCTCACCACTCTCTTCACTTTTCTTTTACTCTCCATATACTCTGCTCTTCTTATAACACTTCTGCTTTGTAAATACCTCTCATAAGCTAACTTTTTCTCTTTTATCACACCCTTTACTTCATCATTCCACCAGTCACTCCTCTTTCCTCCTGCACCCACCCTCCTATAACCACAAACTTCTGCCCCACATTCTAATACTGCATTTTTAAAACTATTCCATCCCTCTTCAACCCTCCCAGTACTCATACTTGCAGTAGCCCACCTTTCTGCCAATACAGTGGACCCCTGCATAATGATATTAACCCTTTGAGGGTTTTCGTCGTACTAGTACGTCTTACGCTTAGGGGTTTTTGACGTACTAGTACTCATAAATTCTAGCGGCCTCAAATCTAGTGGGAGAAAGCTGGTAGGCCTTCATATGAAAGAATGGGTCTATGTGGTCAGTGTGCACAGTCTAAAAAAAATCCTGCAGCACACAGTGCATAATGAGAAAAAAAAACTTTGACCATTTTTTTTTAATAAATCAGCGACTTTGCAGTGTATTTTCGTATGGTATTTATTGTTGTATTCTAGTTTTCTTGGTCTCATTTTATAGAATGGAAGACATATTACAGAAATTGAGATGATTTTGACTGGTTTTACAAAGAAAAGTGCCTTGAAATTGAGCTCAAAGTAGCAGAAATGTTCGATTTTTACCAAACTTCAAAAGTACACAAATCGTGCCAAGCGTGCAATACACGTCAACTTGTGAGTCTAATATTCTTTCACAAGTGCACCAATAATATTTATACCATTTTTTACACTAATGCAGTAGTCTGCATAACAGTAAATCTTATATTTTTTGTGAAAATAAAAATTCAAAGTGGAAAGCAAAGAATATAAGAGGGGCCTTGAGACGTTGCTAATGACTAGAGGAAATGTCATTTTAGTGCTAGGAATGTCTTTCTTGTTTATTCTGGACCCTATTCGGAAATTGGCATCTTTTGAAATTTGTGTGAAATTGGCAAAATTGCTAAATTCTGACCACTGTACTGGATAGTTGAATTTCATAAATGAGTGGTTTCTTGCACCCATTCGATAGAAAAAATGGAGTTCTAGCGAAATATTCATGTTTTTTGTCGACTAGTACAGTGAAATTGGCCGAAAATGGGGCTCAAATTGGGCAAAATCGCCGATGCGTAAACATCGCCGAGACCGCTAACTTTGTGAGAGCATAATTCCATAAGTTTTCTATCAAATTTCAAACTTTTGGTGTCTTTATGATCGGAAAAAGATTCTCTATCTTTTCATAAGAGAAAATAATTTTTTTTTTTTTTTAAATTTGGCTGACCCTGAGAACGAGTTTCGGAGAGGGCCTGTCGACCCTCAAAGGGTTAATCCGTTCCTGAGAGCTCATTGTTATGCGAAATTATCGTTATGCGAATGAATTTTCCCCATAAGAAATAATGGAAATCAAATTAATCCGTGCAAGACACCCCAAAGTATGAAAAAAAAAATTTTACCACATGAAATATTAATTTTAATACACACAAACTGAAAAAGGCATGCACAGATCTGGTGATGATTGATGGGATGGGAGGAGGAGAGAGTCTTAGTGTTTAGAAGGGGAATCCCCTTCCATTAAGACTTGAGGTGTCAAGTCCTTTTTTGGAGTTACTTCCCTTCTTTTAATGGCACTAGGACCAGCTTCAGAGTCACTGGACTTCTGTCGCACAACATACCTGTCCATAGTGGCCTGTACCTCTCGTTCCTTTATGACTTTCCTAAAGTGTTTCACAACAGTGTCAGTGTAATAGTCACCAGCACGGCTTGCAATAGCTGTGTTAGGGTGATTGTCATCAAAAAAGGTTTGCACTTTAAGCCACATTCCACACATTTCCTTAATCTTTGAAGTAGGCAACTTCTTCAATTTCTCTCTCCCCTCCTCCGAAGTAGTTTCCTCAGGTCTGGCCTCTTTCTGTTGAAGTTGATCTAGCAGCTCATCAGTGGTTAGTTCTTCATTGTCCTCCTCCACCAACTCTTCCACATCATCCCCACTAACCTCCAACCCCAAGGACTTTCCCAATGCCACAATGGATTCCTCAACTGGCATAGGATTCCCAGGGTTAGCCTCAAACCCTTCAAAATCCCTTTGGTCTATACATTCTGGCCACAGTTTCTTCCAAGCAGAGTTCAAGGTCCTCTTAGTCGCTCCCTCCCAAGCCTTACCTATAAGGTTTACACAATTGAGGATATTAAAGTGATCTCTCCAAAACTCTCTTAGAGTCAATTGAGTTTCTGAGGTCACTACAAAGCACCTTTCAGAGCTTTTGTGTACAGATTTTTGAAGTTTGCAATAACCTACTGGTCCATGGGCTGCAGGAGAGGAGTGGTATTAGGAGGCAAAAACTTCACCTTAATGAAGCTCATGTCCCCACAAAGTCGCTCTGCCACGTCTGTAGGATGACCAGGGGCATTGTCTAACACTAGGAGGCACTTAAGGTCTAATTTCTTTTCACTTAGGTAATCTTTCACATTGGGGGCAAATGCTTGGTGTAACCAGTTATAGAAAAAGTCCCTAGTGACCCATGCCTTACTGTTTGCCCTCCACAGCACACACAAATTAGCCTTGAGGATATTCTTTTGCCTGAACGCTCTGGGAGTTTGAGTGATACACTAATAAAGGCTTCACTTTGCAATCACCACTAGCATTGGAACACATCAACAGAGTAAGCCTGTCTTTCATAGGCTAATGTCCTGGGAGTGGTTTTCCTCCTGAGTAATGTAGGTCCTGCTTGGCATTTTCTTCCAAAACAGGCCTGTTTCATCACAATTAAACACTTGTTCAGGTTTCAGTCCTTCACTGTCTATGTACTCCTTGAATTCCTGCACATATTTTTCAGCTGCTTTGTGGTCCGAACTGGCAGCCTCACCATGCCTTATCACACTATGTATGCCACTACGCTTCTTAAATCTCTCAAACCAACCTTTGCTGGTCTTAAATTCACTCACATCACTAGTTGCAGGCATTTTTTTAATTAAATCCTCATGCAGCTTCTTAGCCTTTTCACTTATGATCACTTGAGAGATGCTATCTCCTGCTATCTGTTTTTCATTTATCCATACCAATAAGAGTCTCTCAACATCTTCCATCACTTGCGATCTCTGTTTCGAAAACACAGTTGAACCTTTGGCAAGAACAGCTTCCTTGATTGCCGTTTTGTTGGACACAATAGTAGCGATGGTTGATTGGGGTTTACTATACAACACTCCACTTTCATACTTAGCAATGATCTCTTTCTTCATCTCTATAGTAATTCTCACCCTTATTCCTGTAGGGTTGGCACTAGAAGCTTTCTTGGGGCCCATGGTCACTTATTTTGCAGATAAAATCACCAAAAACACTGTAATAATACGAAATGTTCCGATTGTATGCTTGGATGTTACCGCGGAGGCTGGCTGGTAAACAATGCCACCGGCGGAACATGTGAGGCTGGCTCAGGCCGCACATTAGACGCATCTCGGACGAATAGCGTTGAGTGGGTTTTTTTAGCGGTATGCGAGGCAAAATCTTAGTGATAAAATGTATCGGTATGCGGATTTAACGTTATGTGATGCCAACGGTATGCGGGGGTCCACTGTAGTTGCTTATATTTCACCCGAACTTCCTCCTCCCTTAGTTTATACACTTTCACCTCCCTCTTACTTGTTGCCATTTTCCTCTTATCCCATCTACCTCTTACTCTAACTGTAGCTACAACTAGATAATGATCCGATATATCAGTTGCCCCTCTATAAACGTGTACATCCTGGAGCCTACCCATCAACCTTTTATCCACCAATACATAATCTAACAAACTACTTTCATTACGTGCTACATCATACCTTGTATATTTATTTATCCTCTTTTTCATAAAATATGTATTACTTATTACCAAACCTCTTTCTACACATAGCTCAATTAAAGGCTCCCTATTTTCATTTACCCCTGGCACCCCAAATTTACCTACTACTCCCTCCACAACATTTTTACCCACGAGTACTCACACTTGGTTCAAAACTCCCCACGCATTCACTCAACGTTTCCCAAAATCTCTCTCTCTCCTCTACACTTCTCTCTTCCCCAGGTGCATATATGCTTACTATAACCCACTTCTCACATCCAACCTTTATTTTACTCCACATAATCCTTGAATTAATACATTTATAGTCCCTCTTTTCCTGCCATAGCTTATCCTTCATCATTATTGCTACTCCTTCTTTAGCTCTAACTCTATTAGAAACCCCTGACCTAATCCCATTTATTCCTCTCCACTGAAACTCACCCACCCCCTTCAGCTTTGTTTCACTTAAAGCCAGGACATCCAGCTTCTTCTCATCCATAACATCTACAATCATCTCTTTCTTATCATTCACACAACATCCACGCACATTCAGACTTCCCACTTTGACAATTTTCTTCTTATTCTTTTTAGTAATTACAGGAAAAGGGGTTACTAGCCCATTGTTCCCGACATTTTAGTTGACTTTTACAACACGCATGGCTTACAGAGGAAAGATTCTTATTCCACTTCCCCATGGATATAAAAGGAAAAGTAATTAGAACAAGAACTAAGATAAAACCAGAGAAAACTCGGATGAGTGTGTATAAATGTGTAGTGTGACCCAAGTGTAAGTAGAAGTAGCAAGACGTACCTGTAATCTTGCATATTTATGAGACAGACAAAAGACACCAGCAATCCTACCATCATGTAAAACAATTACAGGCTTTTGTTTTACACTCACTTGGCAGAACGGTAGTACCTCCCTGGGTGGTTGCTGTCTACCAACCTACTTCATGTACCTGTTATAATTCTCTATCATGCTTCCTTTTAAGAGGGGGTGCCTTAACTGCAATCATTGGCTCTTGATATGGAGAATTAGAGCTTCCTTTGCAGAGGGCATGGAGAAACAGAGAAATAAGTACATTTTTCTTGACAGAGGGAGCGTGGTAAGAAAAGTAATGAATGTACATGTAACTGTGCATAAGCTTCTGATAAATGGAAAAAGAAAAGCCTGTAGCCAAGCGAGGGACATGTACATCAAGTATTCTTGTTTCTCTCTCTCCGTGCCCTCTGCATGTGTGTCCTCTAGAGCTTCCTTTCTCTTGTATCAATCCTAATTCTATCCTATTCCTCATATGCTTTGTGTTTAATGCTTTCCTATTAATATATATTCTTGCCTCTCATTTCCTAGGCTCCATAAAACTGCTGAGGGTTCAGTGTTTCCCCATGAATTTAATAATAGTGTGATGATTAAATTCTACAACATACATCTCTCCTCAGTCTTGATCCACACAGTGTCTACTGTGTGTGTGAATTTTCACCTTTTCTCAGATGAGTAAAATATTCTGTACAGATATGAATTGTTTACATGCATATGGACTAGTTATTGGGGAAGTAAGAGCGGAACATATCCTTTTTACTTCAGTGTAAAGCTGAATTTGATCTTGGAGATTTTTTCAAGGAAATTACTGCACAAAGACAGTCTTGGATACACTTGTGCTTCTCTAAAATTCTCTTTCGTAATGGTTGATAGTATGGAAAAACCAACAAGTTGTAGTTGTTGAAGAGACAAGCAGCAATTGAAAACTATATATAGGCGATGCTTTGCCTGTACAAGAAGGTTTTTATTGTCTGACAGACTGCTGTGCAGGCAAAACATTGTCTAAATATAGTTTTCAATTGCTGCTTGTCTACTCTCTCTTTCATGTTCAGTGTATAGTATATATTCTAAAATTCAAAGTTTCATTTCAGCCCTTTGCCTTGTGTCAATCATACAATTACTAAGCAAGAATTCATTGTTGTTTCATACATTCTTGCAGCATTTGCCATTACTGCACCTAGTTGAGAATGGGAACAGTTACTCCATATATTAATTTCTGTGGTTAATCCTCCTTTTTTCATATGCATTTGCATAATTTATAAAGCACATTTTATGTTTAATATTTCTATGTATATTTCATTAATGCATTTTTTATTATACATATTATTTAGAGTAAATGTCTTTTCATTTACAAATCATATTTTTAGTGATACTGTACTTTAGATTTTCCCTTTCTCTCCCACTCTTCTTTTACATCATTTGAGTCCTGTAGCAAGTCATTTGATCCTACTTGCTATTCACAGAGTTCATTCTTTCTCATTGTATATTTTTGCTTCTCATTCATTTCTTAATATTTTTCTGTATTCTTTATCTATAGAACATAGAATTTTTTAAGATCCTTTTTCCAATAGTGTTGCTGTTCTGTAGATCATTAGAATTAAAATTAAATATATGTATCAACTTTCAGATGGTGTATCTCTGCTAAGAAGGTTTGAGATTGCCCATAACCAAATTGGTTTGTCACATTCCCAGATCGTCCAGTTTCCACAAATTCTTATGTCAAGAGACTTCAGGATAAAGCAGCGCCATGATTATCTGAAGCTTATTGGACGAGATCAGTATGATCCACTCAAGCCAAATTATGTATCTCCATCTGCTTTAGTGTCTAGTGATGATGTAGAATTCTGTACTACTATTGCTAAAACATCAGTTCAGAATTTCAATGACTTTTTAAAAACAAGATAAAATTGTTATTCTCTTTATGGTGATAAAGTTTAAATTTGTTATATTGGAGTAAATTAGTAATATTTATTGTGTTAGTAAAGAATATAGTTCTGTACACTAAATATATATGTAATAAACTTATTTTGGTGTAGTATTTGACCCTTTTTTGTCAGGAATGCATAACCTGAAATTTTTCTCAAGAATAATCTATGCTGAAAATAATGTTGACTTATGCAGGAAGGGTATGTTTGTGCATATTTTTATGTACATTTAATCATTTTATATGAAATGCTAGGAATGAAGGAGGCACAATTTTTTGTCTGCTGATAGCAAGATGCACATGGTACCCATCTTCCTGCTGAAATCCACATAACCTGAATACAGTGGTACCCCAAGTTTCGTACAGCTCCCAACTCGAACAATTATGCAAGTGTATTATTTTAAGTGCTTTTGTAAGTGTAGTTTAGCACTCCCCCATGATTATAATAATAATAACAATTTTGTAAGTGTATTTTCGGGGGTCTGAAACGTACTAATCTAATTTACATTGTTCCTTATGGGAACAAATTCTTTTGGTAACGGCACTCGAACAGCCTTAGGGTACAAATTATGGCCAAAACTTGGGGTATCACTATCTCCTATTTTCCAAGGTGTTGTTTAACACCTTATGGTTTTAATGTTCCCATGAATGTAATAATAATCATCAAGGCATCTTATGGAAAATATTACATAAATTTAAAAATGCAACTGGCAAATACACAGTCTAAGCCTTCCTCACAGTAGGTTATGCTGATGTTGAAAGTTTATGGCATATCAAAACAGGTATTCAAGTTACTGCAAGACAACTGCTTCACTATTTTCATGTATAAAATTGGTAAATTGGCACCTATACAGCCCAGTAACAATTCAAACCTTCTTCTATATATCAGATAATTTCCCATATTAACAACCATCACCACCACTCGCTTCTCCCTACGAATGTTAAGACACAACTCGAGATACGAGTGCAAATATTATTGTATACCAGTGTTTAAAGTTTGATGATGTTTAGAAGGGGCATTCTCAGTATCTCAAGTAAATCACAGAGGAAGAATGATATTTCAACCACTACAGGTAGTCTTTTTTTGGAGGTACCCATCTAGTAAGTAAGTTTATTCAGGTATACACAAATACATTTACATAGCAGCATGTGTGTAGAGAACCTAGGATAACCCAAAAAAGTCAGACGGAGTGACTTAAGTTGCTTTGTTTAGTAGTACTATACTGATTTATTTGTATTATAAATCTGAGCAGACCACAAACACAAACACACACACACACACACACCTGAGAATAATGTTCCGATACATCAGTAAGGAATGGTTCAAGACACTATACACTATGTACGTTAGGCCCATACTGGAGTATGCAGCACCAGTTTGGAACCCACACCTAGTCAAGCACATCAAGAAATTAGATAAAGTGCAAAGGTTTGTAACAAGGCTGGCTCCAGAGCTATGGGGAATGTCCTATGAAGAAAGGTTAAGGGAAATTGGCCTGACGGCACTGGAGGACAGGAGGGTCAGGGTTGACATGATACGAGATACAAAATACTGCGTGCAATAGATAAGGTGGGCAGACAAGATGTTCCAGGGATGGGACACAGAAACAAGGGGCCACAATTGGAAGTTGAAGACTTACATGAGTCAAAGGGATGTTAGGAAGTATTTCTTCAGCCACAGAGTTGTTAGGAAGTGGAATAGTCTGGCAAGTGATGTAGTGGAGGCAGGAACCGTACATAGTTTTAAGATGAGGCATGATAAAGCTCATGGAGCAGGGAGGAGGAGGACCCAGTAGTGGTCAGTGAAGAGGTGGGGCCAGGAGCTATAACGACACCTGCAGCCACAAATAGGCGAGCACAAATAGCAGAGTACACACACACACACACACACACACACACACACGAGAGTTACGTCAAGAGTAGTGCTTTAATTACTGTGTCATCTTAACTTTCTGTACTTGTTAAGTGAGATTTTAATTTCTGAGGGACAATTTTAGCTTGTGAGTTAATATTTTTTATTGTAATATAATAATAATAATTATTATTATTATATTAATGGTGAGAGTGATAAACCCATAGAGATCATACAGTGCCTATGGAAATGGGAGGCAATCAGATCTGATTCGAAAAAATGGAGGCCAGGTTGAATGCCTTGGATCAAGTCTCTCTCACCAGCATCAAGAGACTTTCCATGGGGGGAAAAGCTCTCAGTAAATTTTACAACTTCCTTCCTTCCGTTTGTAAATTCAACATGACTTTCTTCCCTAGCTGAGTCCAGTAATCCAGCAATCTCTCCTTTGTTTCCCACCCTCTGTATAATCCCTTTGCAGACGTATTTTGACACACTTCCCTCGTTTGACCTTGCCAGACCCCTCACATTGTAAGACTTGACACTCCAGAATAGATCTCTTACCCCCTTGTCTTAAGCCTTACAGTTTACTCTACTCCAAGACTGTTTCCTTCCAGGAAGGTGCATCGATGCTTCCACGTCAATATTGTATAATAAAAATCCCAGACACTGTTACCTCGCCTCCCTCATTGCCGCTGACTTAAATCCTCAGTTGTGTGACTCCCATTTACACCCTTGTATATAAAGTCGGTTTGCAGTCTTCCTCGAAACCTTGCCATCAGCCATGATATATTTTTATTTGCTTCAACACAAATAGCTAAATCCTCCTTTGTTTTCTACTCAACAGGTACCTTCATATTTATACGAATCTGATTATTATTATTATTGGTTTTCAACTTAGTGGCCATATCCCACCAAGCAGTGTGACCCAAAGAAGAAAACATATTCACCAACATTTATTCAACTGTTGTTTTCCAGAAGTGTATCATAATCTAATTATCTCCCACTTATTATAATTATATTATCATATTTGTTATTGTATTCACTTAGAAAGGGCTAAGCCCTTATGTGTCATAATAATAAAGAAAATAATATGCACTGTATAATCTAAAGAATTACAACTATTATCCTTTCTGGCAGTGTATGAACTATATGGGTTTGACAATATGATATGTTGTGTATCTTTATACGTATATGCTTCTAAGCTGTTGTATTCTGAGCACCTCTGCAAAAGCAGTGATAATGTGTGAATGTGGTGAAAGTGTTGAATGATGATGAAAGTATTTTCTTTTTGGGGATTTTCTTTCTTTTTTGGGTCACCCTGCCTCGGTGGGAGACGGCCAACTTGGGGAAAAAAAAAAAAAAAAAAAAAAAAAAAATAATAATTTAATATAAGTACAGTGGACCCCCGCATAATGATCACCTCCGAATGCGACCAATTATGTAAGTGTATTTATGTAAGTGCGTTTGTACGTGTATGTTTGGGGGTTTGAAATGGACTAATCTACTTCACAATATTCCTTATGGGAACAAATTCGGTCAGTACTGGCACCTGAACATACTTCTCGAGTGAAAAAATATCGTTAACCGGGGGTCCACTGTATTTGGTAATTCTCGAACTAACCAGAATACCCCGATTTCACAGACTGTACAACCCGTAAGGGTTTAGTGATACCCCATGAACGGAATAATAAGACTTGTGTCAGTGGTAATTATTACATACTTGTGGATAACTCTCCAAGTAGAATTATTTCAAACAGTGGAATTTATTATGGAAAAATCTTAATTTCAGTGTTCTGTGTAACAAAAAGTGGCCTTTAGTAATTAAACTTAATAGAGATGACATATATAATTTAGTGTGTTTAAAAATTCTTTAATACAGAAAGTGGCATGAATGCTGCATTTCAAAGAGCATTAGCATTTAATCAAAATAAATTAGTGCGTCGTTACTTGGCAAAGGATAGAAAGAATTTTAATTAAAAGAAATTATGAAAAAAATTAAATTTTACATTTTGAAGTGCCTACATCTGAAAATATCTGTAAAAATTAATTTTATTTTTTAATTAGATAAGTTGCAGGGTATGTGACTTTCACCCACTTTCAGAAATCTTTACCCTAGAGATGTACTACTAGAAATTGTCTTCATCCATTATACCTGGGTATCCTGTGCCCAGTGACAGGCTGGAGACAGTGGAGATAACATGTCTAAGGGCAATGTATAGTGTAAATATTATGCAGAGAATTCGTAGTGTGGAAATTAGGTGTGGAGTTACTAAAAGTATTAATCAGAGGACTGAGGAGGGGCTGTTGAGGTGGTTTAGTCATTTAGAGAGAATGGAACAAAGTAGAATGACTTGGAGAGCATATAAATCTGTTGGGGAAGGAAGACAGGGTAGGGGTCATCCCTGAAAAGGTTGGAGGGAGGGGGGCTTGGACTTCCAGCAAGCATGCGTGAGCATGTTAGATAGGAGTGAATGGAGACGAATAGTTTTTGGGACCTGATGAGCCGTGGGAATGTGAGCAGGGTAATATTTTGTCAAGTGATTCAGGGAAACCCATGGAAATGGGAAGTACAATGCCTGCATTTTAAAGGAGGGGCTTAGGATATTTGGCAGTTTGGAGGGACATCAAAAATGTCGTATCTGATCACTTCTGTAAAGACAGTGGTTATGTATGAGTGATGGAGCAAGTGTTGAATGATGATCAAAGTTTTTTTCTTTCTTTTTGGGTCACCCTGCCTCGGTGGGAAATGGCTGATGTGTTAAAAAAAAAAATAAAGTATCAATTATTGAAATGAATGGGAATCTTATCACAAGTCTATTTCATGATCTACACCCATGAATACCTCAATAGGGTTAAGAAGTTTTCATACGTATTGTGGTTTTGACTGGACATGGCTTTCAGCAGGACTGGAGTTTTGAACACTTGAATATACTTTAAGGGGAGTGCTTTGACACTCGGATTGGTAAGGGTTTTTATACTATTCTCACCTTCAGATCTAAATGCTTTAAACTCTAATTAAAACCTATGAACCCTTACTGTAAGCGAAGCTTCACCTGACAATACGGTCTTAAACACAATGCTAGAGTGCCACCACAAAACTTGTCATTTCCATATCCTCCCTTCTCTCCTGTCTGTGTGTATACTTGCTTCTATGTACCCACCTACTTGTGGTTGCAGGGGTTGATTTGCAGCTCCTGGCCCCACCTCTTCGCTGGTGGGTACTAGGCCCACTCACTGCTCCAAAAGCCTTATTGTACCTCTTCTTAAAGCTATGTATGGATTCTGCCTCTACTTCACTCTCCAGAGAGAGAGAGAGAGAGAGAGAGAGAGAGAAAGCGCACATGTGTGTGTACACTCGCCTATTTGTACTCGCCTAATTGTAGTTGCAGGGGTCTATTCATAGCTCCTGGCCCTGCCTCTTCACTGATTGCTACTGGGTCCTCTCTCTCCCTGCTCTATGAGCTTTATCAAACCTTGTCTTAAAACTACGTATGGTTCCCGCCTCCACTACGTCACTTTCTAGGCTGTTCCACTACCTGGCAGCTCTATGGCTGAAGAAATACTTCCTAACATCCCTTTCACTCATCTGAGTCTTCAACTTCCAATTGTGACCCCTTGTTTCTGTGTCCCATCTCTCAAACATCCTGTCTTTGTTCACCTTGTCTATTCTGTGCAAAATTTTATATGTTGTTATCATGTCTCCCCTGACCCTCCTGTCCTCCAGTGTCGTTAGGTCAATTTCCCTTAACCTTTCTTCTTAGAACAATCCCCTTAGCTCTTGCTCTAGCTCTTGTTGCAAACCTTTGCACTTTCTCTAATTTCTTGACACGCTTGACCAGGTGTGGATTCCAAATTGGTGCTGCATACTCCAGTATGGGCCCGACGTAAATGGTGTACAGAGTCTTGAATGATTCCTTACTGAGGTATCGGAACGTTATCCTTAGGTTTGCCAGACGCCCGTACGCTGCAGCAGTTATCTGACTGATGTGCGCCTCAGCAGATGTGCTCGGTATTATATTCACTATAAGATCTTTTTCCTTGAGTGAGGTTTGCAGTCAGTGGCCACCTAGACTATAATGACTCTGCATATGACAGGGTTAAATTCAAGGAGCTAGTTGCTGGACCAGGCTTGTAGCCTGTTCAGGTCCCCTTGTAGTCCTGCTTGATCCTCGACCAATTTAATTCTCCTCATTAACTTCACATCATCTGCAAACAAGGACACTTCTGGGTCTATCCCTTCTGTTATGTCATTCACATATACCAAAAACAGCACAGGTCCTAGGACTGACCCCTGTGGAACCCCGCTTGTCACAGGCGCCCACTCTGACACCTCGTGTGTGTGTGTGTGTGTGTGTGTGTGTGTGTGTGTGTGTGTGTGTACACTCGCCTAATTCACCTAATTGTGGTTGCAGGGGTCGAGACCCTGCTCCTGGCCCCGCCTCTTCACTGAACGCTACTAGGTCCTCTCTGCTCCATGAGCTTTATCAAACCTCGCTTTAAAACTGAGTCAAAGGGATGTTAGGAAGAAATACTTCTAACATCCCTTTGACTCATCTGAGTCTTCAACTTCCAATTGTGACCCCTTGTTTTTGTGTCCCATCTCGAACATCCTGTCTCTGTACACCTTGTCTATTCCACGCAGTATTTTGTGTGTCGTTATCATGCTTTCCCTAATCCTCCTGTCCTCCAGTGTTGTCAGGCCGATTTCCCTTAACCTTTCTTTGTAGGGCATTCCCCCTAGCTCTTGAACTAACCTTGTCGCAAACCTTTGCACTTTCTCTAATTTCTTGACGTGCCTGATCAAGTGTGGGTTCCAAACTGGTGCTGCATACTCCAGTATGGGCCTGACGTACACGGTGTACAGCGTCTTGAACAATTCCTTACTAAGGTATCGGAACGCTATTTTCATATTTGCCAGGCGCCCATATGCTGCAACAGTTATCTGGTTGATATGTGCTTCCAGAGACGTGCTCGGTGTTATATTCACCCCAAAATCTTTCTCCTTGAGTGAGGTTTGCAGTCTTGGGCCACCTAGCCTATACTCTGTCTGTGGTCTTCTTTGCCCTTCCCCGATCTTCATGGCTTTGCATTTGGCGGGGTTAAATTTGAGAAGCCAGTTGCTGGACCAGGTGTCCAGCCTGTCCAGGTCTCTTTGAAGTCCTGCCTAATCCTCATCTGATTTAATTCTCCATATTAAATCTACATCTGTAAACAGGGACACTTCTGAGCCTATCCCTGACATCATGTCCTGGGGTCCAGGGGTCGGTCCTAGGACCGACCCCTGTGGGACCCCGCTTGTTACAGGTGCCCACTGTGATACCTCATCACGTACCATGACTCGCTGGTGCCTCCCTGTCAGGTATTCTCTGATCCACTGCAGTGCCCTTCCTGTTATACGTGCCTGATTCTCTAGCTTCTGCACTAATCCCTTGTGAGGAACTGTGTCGAAGGCCTTGCAGTCCAAGAAAATGCAATCAACCCACCCTTCTCTCTCGTGTCGCACTTTTACTTTATCATAAAACTCCAGAAGGTGTGTGACACAGGATTTGCCTTCCATGAATCCATGCTGGTTGGTGTTTATACTCTTGTTCCATTCCAGGTGCTCCACCACTCTCCTGATAATCTCCATGACTTTGCATACCATACACGTCAGTGACACTGGTCTATAGTTTAGTGCCTCTTTTCTGTCTTTTTTTTTTTAAATGGGAACTACATATGCTGTCTTCCATACTTCAGGTAGTTGCTCAGTTTCGAAGTTGTGTTGAAGATTATGGTTAGTGGCACACACACCATTTCTGCTCCCTCTCTAAGGACCCATGAGGAAATGTTGTCCGGTCCCATTGCCTTTGAGGTATCAAGGTCCCTTAGCAGCTTCTTCACCTCCTTCTCACTTGTGTGTATGTCTTTCAACACTTGTTGGTGTCCCCCTCTGTTCTGTCTCCCCAGAGGCCTTCCTGTCTCCACTGTAAATATTTCCTTAAATCTCGTGTTGAGCTCCTCACATACCTCTTGATCCTTTCTTGTGAGTTCCCCACCTTCTTTCCTCAGCCTGATCACCTGGTCTTTGACTGTTGTCTTCTTCCTAAAGTGGCTATACATCAGTTTCGGATCAGACTTGACTTTCGATGCTATGTCGTTATCTGTGCATACTCGTTTCTGGCTCTTCGATTAGTCTCCTTGTGTATGTGTGTGTATATGTGTGTGTGTGTGTGTGTGTGTGTGTGTGTGTGTGTGTGTGTGTGTGTGTGTGTGTGTGTGTGTGTGTGTGTGTGTGTGTGTGGTGTGTGTGTGTGTGTGTGTGGCGTG